CCCCCCCCCCCTTGTCATGTTAAATGAACTTTCCCTTACTCAGTGTGTCATAATGCCCGCCAATCGCAACTTATAATGAAAAACTGCATACAACAGGCGCAAATTAGATATATCTATTTATCTATTTACTCATTTTATTACTGACTTATTTGTTTATTTATTTCACAAATTTCAGTTAACGAAATTAAAGTGGTGATCAAAATTTGAAGTGTATGCCAAACCTCCGTCTAAAATGGATAAAACTCGTTAGCTGCAGAAACAAAGCCTGCAAAGCCCAAGTAGCTCCGGCCCACGTTAGGAAATAATCTTTCAGGAGAGTATAATAATGACAATTTTCATGAGTTTTTTCGCTTATTTCTATGGGTTTGTTCTCAGACAGCATTTGGGCAGCACAAGGACGATATCGCTGAACACTTTTATTAAAATAAGAAGTTTTTCTCTCCCTTTTTTAATTGTAATTGTATAATACCTCCAATGTTTAGCAAATGTCTGTTAACTTAGTGATGACAATCATTTTCTACGGTCACAAAAAATAAAGCTAAGGGAGAAAAAATCTGCTAATGAAACTGAACTTCAACTGAGTTCGATCTAGCCGTGGTTTTAGTGTACTTCATTCATTCTAACATTATATGCGCAAACAACATCAATGCCGATCCTCTACTAAATCATAATCAGCTGCCCATAAAAATGTATTCAACAACTCTCTTATCAAAATTTGATCCTTTAATTATTTTTCCAGACAAAAAGAACAGCACGGAAATTAAGAAAAAATAAAACGAAAGGATTCAAGTTGACGTCTAAGAGAGAATGATAACTTCATTCACCGACACAGTTGAGAATTAAGAAACCTCGTAGTCCTAGATATGATATTCTCAGAGGCGAATATTCAGAACTTAAAATTTTCTGCAACGATAATTACCTTTTGATCCATTAAGTTTGATATTTTGGCCATTGTAATGTTTTAGAATCATTTAGATAATTTTTTTTTCTTTCACAAATACCGGAATTGATCATTCGCATACCCTAGCATATAAAAGAGCTTCCGATCACTTCATTAGAGAGAGAGATCGCGATCACTGCTCCATCGGAAAAACACACAAAATAATGCTTGAATCAAGTAGGTTTTATTTTCGTAACGTGTTGATTATATTTGCATTTCAGTTATAAAGAAGTGTTTGCGACTCGGATTCGTATCAATATTGACAAAATGGCCTCAAAAACTTTTGCCAGTAAAGTTATTATGTCATCCCTCGACGCGAGCTTAACTTTGGTTTCAATAATCGGCAATGGATCTTTCATCG